GAACACTCATGTTCTTTCCAACTTTTCGAATTCAACTGATTTCTTCTTCGGGGCTGTGTAATAATGAAATATAAACATACCTCCCACCAAACTCATAACTGTCATAATTTCAATTTGAATATAACTTCTGGCGTATGACCGTCACGATTGGCTTGAACGTAGTCTAATCTGGAAGTCCAATTCTCGATTACTTTTTCCAACATTTATGGACATATACCGGCAATAACGCGGTGGATGTTGTCCTTTAAGTAGTCAATCGTTTCGGCGTAGACTGGCGACTTCACGTATTCCTGTGCAAAATAGTCTAGCGGCATTAAATCGCACGATCTTGGAGGCGAATTCACGGGTCAGAAACGTAAAACTATGCGGTTACCAAACGTTTCCTTGAATTAATCAATTGTGACACGAGCTGTGTGATATGTTGTGCCCTCTTGTTGAAATCACAGCTCTTGCATATCATGGTTGTTCAATTGATGAACGATTATTTCAGTAATCAAGGCTCTATAGCAGTTACCATTGATTGCAACGTTCTGACCAGCATCGTTTTCGAAGAAGTATGAGCTAATTATTCAACCAGCCCATAAATCACACCAAACAGTCATTTTTTTTGGATACATACGATATAAAGGACACATCTCCTTTATATCGGCAGGTATAGGTCAAGACTCGTCGAACACACACTCTCTCATTGACGATAACTCTGGACATTCGCATAGGACATGCCTGACAGTTTCATCTTCCTATTCACACATCCTGCATAGAGGTGTGTCCACTGCTCCATATTACGGAGGTGTTTCCTTAGTTGACAGTGGCCAGTCAGAATACCTACTGTTAGGCCTACGTTTTTCCTAATCATCGCCAGATATTTCTTCAGCGCCAGCTTTCCATTGTCGCCCAGGGTGATTTTAGGAAGACTGCATCCTTTGATTCCATCCCATTCCCATCCCCATGATTCCATCCCATCCCAGCCCAGCCATATATGTCACTGAATTGTAACTAAAGAGTCGGCGCTGCAATTACCTTCAATCTTGTCGTGCCCTTTTTTATCAACCAAGGCTTTGGCTAAATCTTGATGGCTCTCTAGTACTAGCCCTGATGTAACACGTAGTCTGTTCAAGACTGAAAGGACTTGTCTGCTATTAATGCAGATTGTTAATGTTTCTGTCAGAAATTCCTTTCTTGGTTCTTTCTTTTGTGGCAATTAAGATACCAGCCAGTTCTGTTTGAGAACCACGCTGGTATTTGTTTCCATTCCTCACTTAATCCTTAGGCTTAGTGATCTGGAGTAAACTCCACATCCTGAGCTTTCAGGGCTGTGGAGTTTTTGGTATTTAGTTTCTTACAGCCTCTCATCTGTTCTGAAACTCGTGTTTTAGGATATCGTTCGGTTTGGCCAATATATCATTTGGTAAGGTTTCCACAGTTCAATTTGTTCATTATTTTGCATTAATTCGAGGCGTAGCGACTATTTTATAATTTTTATAAGTTGAAAATCCTTACAAATGATCTAAAATTGTGAAAACAATTTTGGTTCGGACTTCTTTATTATGTTCCAGAGCTGTCATTGAATGAATAAATCGTGTCATCACCCAAAACCGTTTCAATTGATTTAAGATAATTTGTTCCTTCTCCCAAGTTTATTATTTTTGTACCTCACTGAAGAGGCTGAAAGGTGAAAAATGTTCAGAAATTTCCTTTTTAAATTTCTGTGTACGTTCATGTCCATGAAATCCAACGTCCTCCCCTTCAGACAGACACAATATTTCGTTGGTTTTCGTTTTTGCGTATCCAGCTGATTTTGATTCCATCCCTTGTTCTGACAGCTTGTTTGTGGATCCAAGATTTATACTAATTCCAACTTGTATTTATTCGATTCGATTGGAACGTTACTCCCTGAATCCGGAATATTAATTGTTCATCGGAATGCGGATTCTGAATGAGGTATTGTTGGTGAGGCACTGAAAAATTTACAAATCCTGACATGACATGAGATGAGAAAAGAAAACACTCAATGTGAATACATGTAGAAATACCTCCTGCAAAATTTGAAACGTTTACATTCAGTAGTTTCTTGAGTCCTCATTTCTTTTTAAAGTCTGTTCACTTTTTTCATCGGCTAAGATGTAAAAACTGTTTCAAAAGCACCCAATGTTACGAAATCATATTTTTTTACATCTACAAATTATGTTGGATCTGGCTCAGCTGCCAAATAGAATTGACGTAAAAATTGTTCACCTGACTAATTGGATCTCAGACAATTATTTGTATTTGAATCCTAGCAAAATGTTAAAACCATAGATATTGGCGATGAAGTGGTATAAATGTTATATCGTTGATTTTTAAGGCATTTGAGTTGATTTTGATCTTAAAGTCGATACACATTGTGATAAACTGGAATAGATATTGTTCATTACCTGAATTTGCAACTGTTTGAGAAAAGAACGGTTTTGGATTTCTGCTTCTCCATCTCCATACAAAAAAATGGGGAAATCTTGGTTGATTTGAACTTTTCTTTCAGCACTTCAAACAGAGATCAGTTTTTGAGAGTCTGATCTATATACGTAAATATATTCCTTGAAACAATCAATCAATTTGTCTGTGACAATTCTAGTTTTCTGTATTTCTGGGTGATGATGAAAATGAGAAGTTATTTATTGAAGAAAATTGTAACAACTTATTTGATTGATTTCATGTAGAAGGTCGTCTTTTTCTGAATCAAGAAATATGTTTCCTCCTTTCAGTACGTAAGAATTCACTAGATTATAGGCAAATCTAATGGCTTCAATCTGTAGGTTGATGTATGTGTTTTGGTGTTCACTGATATCTTCCGATATTTACTCAAAAGTATCAGTTTTTACACGGAGATCATAGAAAACGATGTACATTTTGTTGGACTTCGCTTTTGGGAAGTTGAAGCTCCTGGTAGGACTCTGTAACGTAATACATGAGATGATCTATCACCGATATCAGCTGATTCCAAGAAAATCATGGCATCTATCGTGACAAATACATTAGTTATCATGTTGGTATAATTAGTAATAGCAATAGTTTCTAATAAATGAAACTCAATACAACCTATCACAGAATGAATTGTCCTCATTCTCATAATGCACTCTAAATCATATCCACCCTTTAATTCCCTCTCACATTGTAGTCTTGGTCATTATTTTGATATTCTCAAAGAGAAATCTCTTTCCTCAGGGAGAGCTCATTGTTCATTCTTTCATAACGCGTCTATCCCTCCAGGATCTGTTTACTGTTTCATTTCCATTGCTTCTTTATCCTTTATGAAACCTGCCTGACATTGTATAAGCGAGTATATGACGTAATGTTGAAAAATAATTTTTGTATTTCGCTTGAGTTAAGTGCAATGCAAAATAATTCAGTGTGACATCAGGGAATGATGTTGTCGGGTGATTAGAAGCAAAGCATTATGGTAGTTTTCATCGACCTTTCTGAGGATATTCACCTTCCGGAATCTGAGAAAACAATTAAATAGTAATGGAAAACTGTTTTCAGGTGTAGAAAGTGCAACTCTCCAGTTACTTTTTCGGGTAGTATTTCAAACATTCGTAATGGGATTGAAACATACATGGTGTACTTCGAAGTTTCGGGACAATACACTTGTCTTCATCTTCTGATCAGCACCATTTTGGTAAACTCCTGTTCTGTTTATTCAATCGCATTTATATGAATTTCAATTGAATTGTAAAGGAAATATATGTTCTTCATAGCAAACTATGACTATAGTAGCATCTTCGTAGGAATTGATTCATATAAGGAATTTGATTTTTCACCAAACCTGTGTCTGTACAAGTAAAGAAACTTCGCACCTAATACTTTCATCTGTTTTTAGATATTTCATTTCTCTGAGGTACCTACACTATCAAAACCAAACTTCTGATTTTCAGGTTGTATTTTGGGTGAGAGGTGGTATTTTCCAAACTATATCTTGCAATAGCTACTATATATCAAATCATCCACTTCCCTGGCAAATACCACGAAGGGTGTTGGATTATATCCTACAGGTGTCAGTTCAGGATTCTTCACTGAAGGTATTCCTGCATATGTTGTTGGAAATATAACTGCTGCAATAGATTTTCAAATATTGGAACACACTTGCAGACTGTTTTCGAGCTGTTTGGTCACTCATCAGTGCATGGTAGTGTCTATAATCAGCAAAAAGTTGATGATTTTCGATAACTGAAAATCAGACTAGGCTAAAGCGGATAACAAACGACAGATTTGTCATCGCCCAATCTGCCTGTGAACGGAGTAACCAACCGCATATCCGAAATCTCCCAATTCCCCGTATAAGGAAAGACAACTTTTCACATATAGTCAGTGGACATACTTGTGAAAAGTTTCATTTCTCAGGCCCAGGACTTTTCAGTACATCTAATAGTTGCGAATTGCTGTTGCAGGCTTTTTCCAAAATTGTTCACTATCCATGGCTATCCCTTTTATAAATTGCAACTTGTGTGTTTAGGCTCATCTATCGATTGAATACAACTCAATATTTCTTCAATGCAAAAACTAATCCTGCGTGAAAATATCCACTCCATAAATATCAGAAATAAAAACTAATCAACTTTGCCATGACATCGCATTGCACAGTTTTGGAGATCAGTTTTTTTCGGTGCTGTGAAACACAAAAATTCATTGCCTAATCAATTGAAGAGATTCAATATCAGGAACTTCAAATACAAATATGAAAATTATTTCTACCATGTCAACTTTTGCTCACTGGAAAAATCAATAATAAATAAGCAACAGATAAATTTGATTCATCAACTCTTTGGGGGATAATCACCAATCAATATTTTCATTTATTCTTCTCTTGTGATTCCATCACCGTTAATTGTTTTTTAATTTCTGTATGTTTGCATTCATTATGGAGTGATATTTATTGAGTTTGAGAAAGTCTGAGCCAGACTTCGCATTGTTTTTCAATTAATAATTAAGTAGATTCATTATTATTTATATTATCATTATTTCAGATCTGCCATCACTGTCTTTCCCCAACGGACAGATGGGAAACACGACTACCGGGTCTGGAATCCACAATTGGTGAGCTACGCCGGATATCGACAGCCTGATGGTTCCGTCATCGGAGATCCTATGAACGTGGAATTCACGGATCTGTGCGTCAAACTTGGATGGAAGAGTACCGGTGGAAAGTGGGACATACTGCCTCTGGTACTGTCTGCTAATGGTCACGATCCTGATTATTTCGATATTCCTAGAGAGTATATACTGGAAGTGCCCATGAGTCATCCAACGTAAGTACAGGAGGTCATCCCTCCAATCTTTTTTACATATTCAGTAAAGGCCAATTGAATATGAATTATCTATTTAATATCATCTACTCGCTGATATACAATTTGATACTTAATAATGATAACAATCAGTCCAGCACTGCATTATTATCATGATCACCATTATCATCTGAGCATTATCTATGAATCGAGTAACGATAAAGCTATTCTAGGCTATTGAGTCTTACCAATCGAACAGAAATCTCAGAATGGTTTGTAGCCAATAGTTTCAAACAAAATCTGAATGAAATATAAATAATACGATTCCTATGTGGAAATCAAATTGGTGAAAAAGTTAAGCTTTTTGGTATTGTCAGATCGGCACTCTGATCATTGCTCTCTAGCCAGTTATAACAATTGAGACAACTTGTTCAGGTGTTCAGGTGTTAAAAAAGCTATACAGGTTGAAACCGATGTTGGTTATATCCATTCTTGCAGAACAAAGTTCTGCAAGATGAATGACGATATATTTACCGTAACTTTTGTATCTTTACATTGTGCATGTTTATGTTTTGTGACTGACTGGGAATGTTTCTGAAAGGATCAATAATATTGTTTCTCTTTGTGATGCATATATATGGCTCCTCAGCTTCCAGAAAAATCATCTTACTGTGAATAATACGTTATTTGTTTTTTTGAACTCACAGTCATGGATTCGCTTCGATATGATAATCGTACCATTATTTGTTTACTTCCTTCACTTACTAAAATAGATTGTCGTGGCACATACAGAGGCAGTCCTAATACTTGATCTCAATTTTTTGTATACACATTCGTCTATATCATATCTTATTTTTTTTATTTAAGCGGTAAAAATTCTATTGTTACAGTTTTGGAGTATCATCATTGAGAATCACTCCATGAAATTATTATTATTTTTCTCATGCAACTGACCATTGCACAGCCAAAATAATAACTAATTTAATTTCACGCCAAAGTTCCATTTTTACCTTCCTCTTGATTTTTACTCCAAATACTCATTTGTTTTCAATTTCATTCCATATATTCTCTCATAAAATCGTTAGAGTATATTCCAATTAATTTGTGGTCACTTGATATGAACTTTTCTTAGAGAAATTGCGGACCAGGTGTTTCTGTTCGGTAGTGATATTTCCAAATGGTTTTCAATGTTTCCATTTCAGTATATCTACATGAATTTATGCTTCCATAAATAGTCAGGACTGTGGGTAGTTGTGCAGCGTATATCAGTGATGCCACAATATTGATAATCTAACCGGGAAGCATGTTCAATGTGTACGTTTCGAATTTTACGGTTAATATAGATGCTTTTTCTGCTCCATCATGCAAATTTGACTACTCTGTTGCAGTTACTGCATTTTTTCTATGTTAATCTGATTTGATTGATCGTGGATTTGTCCATTTATCAAATGCCAAGCTCGAAAGAGCCACTTTAATTGGTGTGATGACTTACTCTATCTGCTAATTGTTGAATTCTTGAATAGCAAGCCGATAAACAGCATATTTCAAATGATTTGTGTTTATTATATCTCTAGGTTATAACTGTTTAATTTAGTCTTCATTATATTCAGAATACTAAAACATATCAAAAGAATTTGATACCTCTCCCTTGAGATAAATCTATCGAAGACACTTTTTACACACTTTGAAAAATGATTTGTTAATGAGCATATGTAAAAAATAGTATAACGTAAGATTCTTAAATAGATTTATCATCGAAAAAAATTAGAAATATTCTGAATTGAATTCAAAGCCTAGGGACAAATCTTTCATAAACCAACATCAGGCTGCGTTTTTTCGACCTGTCAGAAATCTGAGTAAAAGTAAGCATATAATAATAATACTGAACGTCTTCATTACTACGACCATAAAAAAAATACAATATTAAGTTCTACTGCATATATAAATTTATAGTAAAAGGCGAAATTCAATTTTCACAGCTATGCAAATAACTGCTAAACTGTTCTTCCACTCAACCTGAAAAAGTCTCTGCATGGGTCTTATAGTAGCATAGCATTAACATAAGTATATGAATATATAAATAAAGATCAGTGACTGGCGATGAAACAGGGAGGCATATGCTCGTTGAATGAGTATATTGGTGTGTTTTTCAAACCTCATATGAGATTCAAATGGAACGCCTAGGTTTCTGGCCTTATCAACAACATAAAGTATATCTGCATTTATATGAATTTCAACTGAATTGATGATTTTACTCCTATTGATTTTTGACCCGAAAAAGCGAGTGTGAAGTTGCTAGTTCAATAAAGTGTCAAATATCTTCACGACTTTTCCGTGACTTTCGACCATAAGCCTTCATCTCATAATAAACCAAAGCCTGCAAATCATTCCTTCAAATACATAATATCATACGCCACTTGTACTCATATTTTTCACAGATACGACTGGTTTGAAGGACTTGGCTTGAAATGGTATGCCTTGCCGGCAGTTTCCAATATGATGTTTGACTGTGGAGGCATCCAGTTCACTGCTGCCCCTTTCAATGGATGGTATATGAGCACAGAGATTGGGTGCAGAAATTTATGTGATACCCAGCGACTCAATATGTTAGAGGTGAGCAACACTAAAAGTTGAGAGTTACGATTACTATTTCATTTTTGAAGTCTTCTGCATTGACAATCATGGTAGAAAGCCTCAAAACTGTTATATATAATTTTCAATAAGATCCAATGTACATTCTGTACAGGACTCTAGTTACTTTAACTCACTCTGATCCTTGAGAAAATAATTTCAATACGACCTGTTCTATGAGCTATATAATTTTTCTGTTATCTTCAGTATCATAAATCTTGGAGTGAGAATATGTAGGTTGTAATACTTTCTGATGATCAATGAAACATGAAGAATGAATGTTCGTTTCATCTCAAAATAGAATAAAAAACGTTGCTGCACTGAATTGGATGTTAGTTGATAGTTGACTTTCCGAAATCTCAACAATGCCATATTTGGTAAAACATTGGAGAATTTTACCCTGAAAAAAAATGCATTGGTGATAATTTCATTCGATAGACAAAAAACTACCGCAGTTTCTTCACTTCCTCAACTGAATATCAGTTCAAGTTCTCTTGGTGACATTGGTGACTTTTTCAGACAATCGCATTGAACATGGGGTTGGATACAAGAACTCCAGTGACACTGTGGAAGGACAAAGCCATAGTAGAAGCCAATTTAGCGGTTCTGTACAGTTTTCAACAGAAAGAAGTCACCATCGTAGATCATCACACTGCTTCGGAATCTTTCATGAAGCATCTAGAGAACGAAGTGCGATTGCGCAACGGTTGTCCAGCTGATTGGGTTTGGATTGTGCCCCCTCTATCTGGTTCGGCTACCCCGGTATTTCACCAAGAGATGGCGTTGTATTATTTGAAACCGTCGTATGAGTATCAGGTGAGAAATCAAATACGTGATGTTTGGAAAATTCAATTACGTCCAGTTGGATATAGTCAACTGTTTTGTTTTTCAATCAAAATCAATGTTGAGTGGTACAGAGTTCAATTTTGACCACTGAGTGCAATATTCGTTTTTTTTTTATTTTTTTGCCAGATCAATCAATGATGACAAAAATCTGTTTCTACTTTTCCAAATTGTAACAAGTTTAACTAGTCTTCTGAACTTAAGATAATCATTGATATCTTCGAAACCTTTTCTATCTAATTGTACTTTGCAGTAAAAAATCAATATATTCTTTGATATCATTTTCATTAACTACTATCGTAATCCCAATATTTTTATCATTGGAGTTCTTGAAGGAGATTTCAACAGCTTCCGGCAAATTTTCTATTCATCCAATGCTCAAATATTAACTTTAATTTCCTCAAAAAACATAAAATAGTTTGAATGTGGATGACTCTGTAGCAGTTTTGAGCAAATAAACATCAATTAAACATTCACACACAGCAATTGATTGAACTAACAACAATTCATTAAGCTGATCACCGAAAACGTAATTGTATTTCAATAATTCAAATGGATTACATTTAGGTTGTTCAAATTTAATTCGTATTCAGTCAGAACAACGAGGTAACACTAAAAAACGGTGGTCTAATAAATCTTGTGGAACATATCGATGATAATGCCTGGTTTTAAATCAAGAGAACTATTCAAATTGAAATTACCGACATTCTTTGCGCTTTCTTGGAGGTAGGCGATTTATTTTAACACGATAGGTGATTAGTCACCCTCTCTGAATTAATAGTTTAGAAGTTGTATGTAATTGTAATCGACATTTGGTTCAGCTATTTGAGTAATTGTAGTTAGCAACAGTTTATGTTACAGTAGTTATTCAGAAACACTGATTTTTTCTGAATAATAACTTCCAGTAGGGAAAGGCATTGCTCTAGAAAGTTTTGTTAGTTTCGGACTTCTACTGTAGATATTTTTATGTTAGAGACGTGAGTAATTTCATATTCCAATGTAGGCAGCGTTTATTTTCTCACACAATAGTACCTTTCAAAAATCACGAGCAATAGCTGTCGGTTGGGATTGCGAAATTCTTCGAAGTTGAGGATTTTCTATTCTATTTCGTGCTTGAATTTCTGCTCGCGAGATTTCTACGAGGTTTTTATTCATAATATTACAAAAATTCACTCACCATCAAGTAGTTGAACGTCACTCAAACCGGCGAAAGTTATGAAAATTCTATGTTATTAAAATTATTGTATACACTTGCTAATACATTTTGGAAAGAATATTGATGATACTTAACTCATTGTACAACGTTGTCAGTCATATCTACATATCCAATCATCTATAGAACAATTATATGATTTAGATTGAACAATGTTTTTCGAAAATTACCACTACAATTCCAAACTATCATAATTAGCTATTTCCAATGAATATTGTTTCATTAAAACCACCACATTTCCCATATTCGAGACACCAGAAAATAGTTCACAAATTGATAAGTTATCGTTTTATTAAAATTCAAAATGCCTCTTCAGATTTTACTCCTGATTATTTGACTTATGTTTGTATGGAATATTAGAAGTCTCAATAAAAAGGATTACAATATGTTCATTTAGACTAGGGCTTGAACCACCGACCAACACGGCAGTCAATTCGAGTGAGTGAACAAAGCACCCACGTCGAACCTCCTGGCTACCGACCGACTTGGACTGGAACAGAAAAATCCATTCATAACTCACACGATAAATCGCCATTTCCCAAATATAACATATTTTTTGACACAAAACATCGCAGTGTGCCAGATTGTTGTGAGAATTATAAATTATTCACATCTAGTTTGGGACTGGTGAAAACTTCCCTTACTGAAAACTCCCATCGGTCAATAGATTTAACCAGCGGATGATTTGACAACGGCCGGACAATTTTACCCATGCCTATTTGAATAAACTCATTCTACAGAACTGTTGAACAAATTATTTCGAGCAAAAATCACTGGCATTTGAAAGGTTTATGTATGGCTCGATTCGCACATGGCTGGTTTTGAATTATACTGGAACTTTTCGGTTAGCAGCCAGTGATTATAGTACAGAATGCCGTGATACATCATCGGAGTTACTAATTATGATGGAGTTATAACTTTCAAAAAACTAGGCTACAGTTGTTTTCAGCAGAGTATAGATTACATTTTTTCAAATGCTTTCTCAATTTTCATTAGTTGGGAAAGGGATCAAAATTTTTTCTGTAGGTGAACAATTCAGTTTCTTCACCGTTTCGGACGTTTTAAATTCATCATCAGGGCTCAAACATTAGTTCATCTATATTTAAAAAAAAACGTAGACGATATGCATAACAGACAACGTAGGTACGAAAACAAACGTAAATAAGGACTAACTACATGAAACATTGGTAAAAACTGAATTGTTCATCTACAAAAACATTTTTGATCCCTTTTCCAAGTGATAAAAAAAAAACATTTGAAAGCATTATTTGGATCACCAAACCTCGCAAAGTATGGATGAACGTCGTTTGTCTTTGAGAATTGTACAACCAATCGAAGAATGTGTGAAAGCTATTTTCCGGGTTGTTTGGCCGTGGTCTTCAGGTTTCATGCCTGACATTTCGTCTACTACTGCGGTAAACATTATCAAAGGCGATGTGGTAACAATCTCAGTGTCCGAGTTGTTGTTCTTGTTGTTCATCAATTTTCATCACCTCTTCTTTTTTATTGAAATCATCCCTGTGCTTTTGAGTTTCTGTTGCCTCTCTATATACTCTTGTATGAGTCGACAATGTCTTTTGTGCTCAGAGAAACGGGTACATACAGCTATAAGGAATCCGGTATACCCCGGGCGTTGCTGAAGGTTCTCCGGGGTGTTCAGTCTATCTTTGACTTTGATAGTTTTTGTTGGCCTAAATATTGGTTTCGCGACGATTACCTATACCCATAGGGAAGAAAATCTTTTCCCTTGACCAGTCTAGCTTCTTTTTCTCTCTCCTTGGTTGTATAGCCCGCTCTAATGCCCCTCCACTGTAACCATTCCTTTTGAAGGTATTTCTCAGGTGATTGAGTTCCTTAGAAAGACTCTCAGATTCACACGAGCGTCGTGCTCTCTCAACAATAATTTCAATTGACTCCTTTTTTTGTTATGGCTTGAGGTTAGTGTATATCCACTATTGAGAATCAGACCTTGTTCATGACGGAAAATAATCAAGGGTTTTCTGAACCAAATACCACCAAGGCAGTTTTCTCAAGGTACCAAAAAGCGAACATAAATATCTACTACCAAGAATATGTTCCTACTGCCTGGGAGTCGTCTGATGAGTACATTCCTCCCAAGTCTCTGGAAAACACTACATAAAAAGGTTTCGGGAGTTGAAGTAATGAAGAAAAATGAAATGAATCTAGTAACAGTATCAGTAAATATACATTTTTTTTCCACAGGAAGCAGCATGGAAAACGCACGTTTGGAAAAAGGGTAGGGAATCTGGAAAGAGCAAGAAACCCCGTAGGAAATTTCATTTCAAGCAAATAGCAAGGTATGAGGGTGAAAGTAGTTGGTAGCTCTTGAGTTTTGTAGCCTGGAGACGACTCCCTCTTTTCGAATTCATTCAAGCTCTCATTGAATACCCCTTTCTTTCTAGAGTGAGACCCTCTCTCCATTTTTTTAATTTTTCTATGCATCTTTACCTCCATACGGCACTGAATGAAGTGCTGTATGCTTTATCCCTTCTTGTATTGCTGTATTTTTTCATTGAAATCGGTATACAAAGTAAAAAATCATGAAGCTTCTGGTAAAAATAATCTCTCTATTCCTGTAATTTTTCAGAGCTGTCAAGTTCACCTCGAAGTTATTCGGTAGGGCGCTTTCCCGTCGCATTAAAGCTACGGTTCTTTACGCTACTGAGACTGGAAAATCCGAGAACTACGCCAAAAAATTAGGGGAACTGCTTGGGCATGCTTTCAATGCTCAGGTGTATTGCATGGCCGACTATGACATCTCCAGCATTGAACACGAAGCACTCTTGGTCGTGATCACCTCCACTTTCGGGAATGGAGATCCACCAGAAAATGGGGAGGTATGTATTCAAGAGTGTAATTTAATGAGTGACTGAAAGATAACATTGTTCAAATTTTGAATCATCGGACTAGGTTGACTGAGAAAGCTATTCTGTCAAACTAGTTCGACTGAGGAAGCTACTGTACACAGAATTGCGTCTTTTGAATGAGGAAGCTACTGCGTCAAATCAGTTCGACCAAGGAAGCTTTTGATTCGAACCTGTGTGACTGAGCTAGATACTGGATAGCGAAACACGTTTTTCGACCAAGGAAGCTACTGTGTTGAACTGGTTCGACTGAGGAAGTCGAACCAGTGCGATTGGGGTAGCTTCTGAGTCGAACCAGTTCAAATGTGGAAACTGATGTGTCTGTGTCGATCGCATCTACCGACTGAAGAACCTTCAGTATCGAACTAGCTCGACAAGAGAAGCTACTATGTCGAACTAGTTCGACTGAGGAAGCTACTGATTAGCGAAATAAGTTATTCAACCAAGGAAGCAACTGTGTCGAAGTAGTTCAACTGAGAAAGCTCCCATTTAACGAAACTCGTCTATCGACCGAAGAAGCTACTGTGATGACTTTTTTGTCCAAAGAAGCTTCTGTGCCGAACTAGTTTGACTGAATAAATTACTGTATCGAACCAGTGTGAATAGCCATTGGATAGCGAAAGGCGTCATTCAATCGAGAAAGGTACTGTGTCGAAGCAGTTCGATGAAGCCACTGTATAGCGAAACACATCTTTTGAATGGGGAAGCTACTAGGTCAAACCAGTTCCACTGAGGAAACTACTGAGTAGCGCACCGCTTTTTCCGATTGTGGAAGCTGCTGTCAAGAATCGGTTCGACTGAGGAAGCTATTGTGTCGGACCAGGTCTACTACGTCGGAGCAGTTCTACTGAGAGAGCTACTGTGACGGAGAAGTGCGGGTCGTGAAGCCACTGTATAGCAAAAGATGATGTTTGACCAAAGAAGCTACTGTGTCCAACCAGTTCGACTAAAGAAGCTATTGAGTCTAACTGGTGCGACTGAGGAAGCTACTGAATAGCGAAACACATCTTTGAATCGAGGAGTCAAACCAGTTCTACTGAGAAGGCTACTGTTTCAAACCAGTGCGATTGATGAAGCTACTGTGAAGACGTCTTTTGCCCGAAGGAGCTTCTGTGTCAAACTAGTTTGACTGGAGAAACTACTGTATCATACTGTGTCGAAGCCGTTCGACTGAGGGAGCTACTGCAATGAGCCAGTCCGCCTGAGAAAACTCCTGCATAGCGGGATGCGTCTTTTGGATTTGGAAGCTACTGTATTAAACTACTTGGACTGATCAAACTACTATAACGATCCAGTGTGAATGGGGAAGTCACTGGGTAGAGAAACGTGACATTCATCCCGTGAAGCTACTGTATCGAAAAAGTTCAACTGTGGAAGCTACTGTGTAGAGCCAGTTTGACCATGGAAGCAACTGTATCCAATCAGTGCATCCGATTAAGCTATTGTATAGCAAAACAATCTTTTGAATGAGGAAGCTACTGTGTTTAACCAGTTTGACTAACGAAGCTACTGAGAAAGCTATTATGTACTGCAATGACTTTTTCGACTCAGGAAGCTACTGTGAAGAATTAGTTCAACTGAGAAAGCTACTATATAGAGTTTAATGGAGTTATTACTGGAAAAGTTGCTTCATTATCATGGATTGATTTTTCACCATACATATACAAATATTGAAAGAACACATATTTGAGTATATGACCTTGCCTAAAAACAGCTCATTTCAGAAAATTATCGAGCACTATTTATGTTGGCTCCTCGGGAAAAATAACACAAAAATGTATCGATTTCATTAGATTCTGGTTTTTTAGATAGTGAGACTGTTTAAAAAGTGAAAAATGAGTCATTATATGCAATCTTCAATGAGAATATATATAGTGTTTGCAATATTGTTTGTTACGTTCTGTTACTAATTATATGTAACCCCCTTTCCTATCGATATGGTACTTTTTTATTTTATGTTATCTGAAATATCCTCAGCACATTACCTCTTGAGGTAATTAACCAACTACCTATCGGTATAGTACTTGTTTATTTAATTTCTTTTGAGAAACTTCCTCAGATTACCTCTTAAGCTAATATTTTTTACAGGAATTTGCCAAAAACTTGTACACAATGAAAATGAGTGAAAACGGCATATCCAACGGAGATCCATCTAAATTGAGGTGAGTTCGGAGAAGAGAGTATTCAATATTGTTTTTTCTCTTCAGTTTTGGTATTATTCAGTAATTTTTCAACGAGATATTTTGCATCATATTCTGTGTCTACGTTACAATTTTCAGGAAACTATATTTCAACTGATACATTTCCATCGATGTTGTGATTTTCAACGTTCATGTCATGAGCCAACCATATATGTTGATATCGTCAGCAAATTACCTAATAGTGATGTGACGCTTCTCAATAACAAGTTTTTCCTCTTGATTGTTGATGTACTGGGGCTTGAACTACTTGTTAACGTTTTTCTGATTCGGAGTACAATCACTGTATGTCACTGTCAACATTTCAGGTGTTTTGAGCACTTTTTTCAATTCTCACACGAAATTTGATGTAAATTCTTTGACACACTTTTTTCGATAGCAGCTGAAACCATGAACAAATATTCGAAAAGAGTGTACCAAGCCGAAACAATTGAAGACTCTAATTGAATATATGTGTCCCGCGACATTTGAACATTATTTTTCGAACAGCACGCGTTTCATGCGGAACAAATGAAACTCCACAGAAGAGAAACAACGCTGAAATTAACTGGACTGTAACAAAATGGGAGAGTGGCAAAACAACCTCGATACTTTTTTAATAAAACTCCCGTTTCCTTTCCACTTTTCTCTCGGAAACAATGCTTTGTTCCACCAGTGTTTCCTTATTACATTGAATAACTCCCAAAATTCTTTTTCCACCACATTCTTACAAACAAAGAGTTCTTTCAGAATTCCAGACTTGTTGAAATTCAAATGCAAGTTCGATATATTATGAAAAGTTTGATATAAATTGCGCTATAATTCAATAATAATAATAATAAACGTCTTTATTACTACAACCACACAAAAAAATCACAATATTAAGTTCTAACTACATATATAAATTTATAGTAAAAGGCGAAGTTCAATTTCCGCAGCTATACAAATAACTGCTGAATTGTTCTTCCACTCTGCATGGGTATTGAAGTAGCGTATCATTTACATAAGTATCTGAATACATGAATGAAGATCAGTTTCTGATGATGATACAAAACTAGACAAACTATTATTGGTCAGGAATCGCTCAAAGAGGAAAAAAATAAAGGAAGATAGAAAAGCGGAATGGTGAAACGTTCATCATTTTATTGATTTTGAAAAAGATACACAGGGTGTAACTAAATAAGTGTAAAACATTTAAGGTGATTCCTCATCGAAAAAAAAATAGGATCTTTCATATAAAGAAATTTCATTGGAGCATCCCTTGTTAAGATACAGCCCCTTAAAGGGGGTACATAAAATTTGTATAACAATTTTTTTCACAAGCACTAAAGAAGTTAAAATATTGAAATTGACCTGACGTTTTGTACTATCAAAAAGACACTCAGCCAGAAATTTATCTGGTTTACCCCATGATTGTAAGGGGTGGAAAACGCAACCCCTAAAATGTATTTCCAATGTAACTTCTTATTTTATTATTTGTTTACCATTTGAAAATTCATTTTCGATAGCCTGTTGCATTCTAAACAAAAATGTCTCTTTGGTTTTTTGTCCAAAATAAACCAGTTCGCAGCAAAACTTATTTTACGAACAACTACAGAGATACATCGTCATAAATACGAAAATACGAAACTAATCTATCTAGTAGGTCGCTATTAGCGATAGTGACAATTGAATTGGTATAGTTATTAATAAATTAGTTTTGTTTATTACCCTTTAATCGTTTAATGCAGGTATTAACTACAAAATAACAATAAATCCAGTTCGTATTTATGACGATGTATCTCTGTAGTTGTTCGTAAAATAATTTTTTGGACATTTGACGTCCCACTATACAAACTTTTTTCTTACATTTACAGTGAAGAGGATATTTTACAAAAAACTGCAACTTCTGTAGCATCAGATGTCGGACAAATTTTGTAATTTGAATTAGAATTCTCACTTCATCACTCGTATCCATTCTGCGTTAGGTCTATAAATAATTACTTGCGGAAAAATAAATTTGTTGCAGTGGTGGTTTGAAATCAATTTTACTCCCAGACCCGCATGAAGCTATTAGCATTTGCCAGGCATGGCTCACTCAATATTTCTCCGACCTTCATCCCATTAATTCCGAAATTAATGGGGTTGTGTCGTTTTCCCCCGGTAAATAATTTCTGGAAATTATTTCCACTTGTAATTGGTTCCCAGTACACAATTTCGAAGTGAGTCGATCAATTTTCTCAAGCCCAGAGGTTGAAAAATGAATGGCGGCCAGTGCCGCATTTTGGGCCGCTTCGTTTCCAGTCCGGAAAAATTCGTTTGTTCATTTTGTTCAATGGTGGTTAATTGGGTTGCTACTTTTCCTCTCCTGGAAAAAATCTGAGAGAGTTGAAGTAATATATTCGTATTGTTATGAATTGGCAAGTACGGCTCAAAATGCGGCACAAAGGTACAAAGATACGAAGGGCCTATTAGACATCGTAGTTCATCTCTACTGTAGTTCAACAACTGTTTGGTTTCAAGCTTCAAAGGCTGAATGAACGCTTTGGAGTGAAATATTATTTCGGAAGCCCTTAAATATTCTTGCCATCCAGGTGTTCAAAGTTTGTTTGGCAAAGCCTAAATCAATGTCAGTCCTCTTCACTCGGGAACAGTACTGTATGAGGGCATTCGTAGTTGACAGTTGGAGGCGTAATGTCAGAGGTCAAAAGCCAGAATGCCGTGAGTTTCAGTTTCAACCAGCAGTCGATTGTACTCTGCATTAGATGAATTCCATCTAGCCTCTCTCCAGAAAATTGTGCAAAGGGGCTAGATCTAGAAGGATCTCCATGATGATGCCAAGATGACAAGGTCATCTGCATGAGCTTGCAGATCTATTTCTCTTCTGTCGAGGGTATCAAGCAGACTATCTATCAGGAGCGACTACAAGAGGGGAAAGTACCCCACTTTAAGGGCAGCCATTGGTGACCCTGATCCTAATGGCCTCATCTTGAAGAATCATAGTTTCAGTTCTCCTCACCAGCAAGGCGTAGATCCAGCCAGTTATGGTCGATTCTTTTTCCAGCCAGCAGTGATTCTATAGATTCAGATAGTGCATTGTCAAATGATCCTTCAATATCGAGAAAAACAGCTACTGCAACCTTCTTGTTGTCAAGGGATTGGGAAATTTTCTCTACAAGGTTATTTGATGATGAATCTGTCGATTTGCCTGTTGGATATGCATGTTGATGCTTATTCAGGCTCAAGTTTTTGTAGACCTGCTTCAATATAATCTGATGTTCTTCGACTACGGCGTATTCAGAATAGCTGTCTACGTTCCTCGTTTGGTATCCGGAAATATGACCATATATCCTCAGTTATGCGAGAATCAGTATGGTAAAAAGTTGAGAAACTTAGAACATTGAATCTACTTACCAACACTCGACAACTTTATTACCTACTAAAGAAACTGAGAACATTCTCAACACCTCAATTATTAGTTTCACTACACGAAACAGTTCTTTCAATCATCCCCAAACCAAAATCCTCCATCTTCTTCCGCTGCTTCTCTATTAATGCACCCAACCCTTATAGTCAACTATCCTGTGAGTTTCGATCTTATACAAATAAATACTTCAAAAGAAGACTAAAAACTTCCTCAACTGTCTAGTAACTTGTCCGTTCCCGAACTTGCCAATACAGAAAGGAGGTTTCCACAATGGTTGCATTAGCAAATTTTCTGATCTTGTCATCAAAGTATCACTGTCAACCTGCTTTTTTTTTGTATTGCCCAGTTATTGCTATTTCCAAGTTGAGTTGAAAAACACCTTCATTAGGAAAGTTGTTTCCATTTTCCTCTTTTTGTCTATTTCAATTGTACTTTCATAATAAATAGTAACGCGAAAATACACCTGGCAATGAACATGGGTAAACCTCTGCAAAGGGGCCGTCTGAAAAGAAAAGATCTGCTTCAGTCCTACAGAGCTAGCTTGGAATAATTACGGGGACTATTACTGGACATCATCCATTTAGAGTACACCACAATAAAATAGGGTTGTATAACGTCGACCACAGTTGATGCCACTGCAACAAAGGGGTGATTGGGGGTAGTTTTTCTTTGTTCCTGTATCTCAGAAGGTGGACAACTAATGGAAAACCCAAAGTATATCTGTAAAAATATGACAAATATCCATCAGACGATCTTGACAATCTGATGGAGGGAATATGATGGAATGAGTATCATGAAGTTGAAGGTTTTTTCAAAGGGTCTGACGACCCTAACATAGTAAAGAGAACACAAAATCATGAATTCTATTTACACCTTTGATGACTCCATAATGGCAGATGTAAACAAATACATATTTTTTTTTCAAAATCAGTATGGCATCCTCGAAGTCCTTCATCAAAGCCAACAGTCAATCAGAAATAGCAACAAGAAACAAAAAACTCGACAGACTCAATTCTTTGAGGGGTTCGGTACTGAGCGAGCCTTTGATAGAGGATACCTTTGGTCCTCTCAGTAATGTTAGGTAAGAATAGGGCACGACTTGTTTACAATGCCAAGTAGAGCTGTGAATTATTTTCTTGACCTTGCCAAAAGTTGATTTGTATAATGCTTCATTACTGCAAAATATTGTTTGGAATGAGCCTTGCACGCTGATGATACCGTACCAATCGAAGCATGTTTTATATATCGCATGGATATGAACGACTAGATGTTGATCGGAGTCATTTTTTGTTCTGATAATGATTTATTGAAATCTAGGTTCGCCGTGTTTGCCCTTGGCTCGAGCGCCTATCCGAACTTCTGCGCTTTTGGTAAGTACGTGGATAACCTACTGGGAGAGCTGGGTGGAGAAAGACTGTTGAAGATGGCGTCCGGAGATGAATTATGCGGGCAGGAACAGGCCTTCAGGAAGTGGGCACCACAAATTTTCCAGGTAGGAACATTGTATTACTTGAAAACAAAATCCAATACACAGATTGAGTTGAGGTTGATGATAGATCATTTGTTGTTACACCAGAAAGGGAGAATGAAATATTCGATATTGAACAAGTAGATGTACTATACAGATTCTAGGACCATGGTGCTTTATTTTACTCATTCTCGGATCTCCGAACGGAACTTTGTGGAACACCCATCCTAATTTATAGTACAGAGTGACGTCGTAGAGCCAATCACAATGGATAGAATAAATATCGGTTGTGTGTTGCACAAGGTTCTGTTTGGAGGTTCGAAAATGACTAAAATGAAGCACCATGAGAAATGACTTGGGATTTGATCCCAGAATCTGTATAAAACGTCTACTGAAACATCTCATGAAGATTTGCATTTGAGGCCATTTATTGGTACCTTCTCTTCTCATTGATTCTCAATATTGTATTTGAAAACTAGACTGTTTGCGATGAATCGAACGAATTTATTTAAATTCTTTCGTTTTTTTAGGTTTATGATATCATTTTTCAAGAAATCTTCAATTTCATTTAAAATCGTTGTTTTTTTCTGATTATTCTCTTCCAACCGATAAAATGGTGGAAATATTGAAAACTAGACCACCAAAACACAGTTTCACAGCAATGAAATGGTTCTTCGCAACAGCTATTTCACTGACATCCATGAAAATAACATCAAAGTGTCATTATTCTTCAATTATATATGACTCTCATTGCCTAGTTATGCATCATCCTTACAATGTCAAGCACTGTCACTGACCTAATCAAATTCAACCAATGGAATTGAATATAAACTCGTTTTCCGTCACTCATACTGAATATTCAAACTTTGTATGAATACTTCTACAGAAATTCACAATTTCAATTTGATGTTATGATCATGATAGTAACTAAACCCCAACTCTACTCATACAACTCAAATGAATATGTAAATCAAATAAAACTCACCAATACAATGAATATATTCATGAAAAGTTGATCACCACACTCAAGTTGGTGATTACAGCCGATTTTAGGGCTCCCCACACCACTTTCACGTAATTAATGGCATCTCAATGACTGATAATGTCATCAAGGTGACCTTGAAAGATATGTCTGGGGCATAGGCGTGAATGGCGTCTTTTCGACTTTTTTCCTTTATCTGCGTGTGTGTATATTTGTGAGGAGGCTAGAAAGCATACTAGGTGAAGGCAGGGATTGCCATTGTCCTTGATATGTTCTTTGTACAAGTTTGTACACAGACCACATACATGTCTTCAAAGTTCAAAGATCCACCAACTGATGAACGGTCCTTCCTCATCAAGTTGATGAGTGGTGGGGTGGTCACAGCTTCTGCGTATGGACAGAGATATGTGCACTCCACAAAGTTTCTCTTACTAATAAATGCTCATCTTTATGCCAAATGCCCCTTGTAGCACCATCCTTGCTACCGGTTGAAAACAGTCGGTCTGAAAATGGTACAGTTTGCAAATATAGGATTATTTGCGATGAAACCATCAAAGAGGTCATTCCCGTCGGGTACACCAATAGTGGTACCTATGGTACCACCTAAACATGAACCGGAGAGGCTGTTGTTGATGGAAATGCCGGCTTCAATAATTGAAGCACTGCCACCACCGACTTCTGCAGTGATCGAAAAGATTCCGACACCTGTCATTGGGGATATTTCCCCACCACCCCCAATGGATACACTGGTCACCACCGACGAGGACACTATTGTGGTTGAAGCGGTGCCTTGTCCTTCATCCGTCGTGCTAGCTATCCAAACAGTGAACAACAATTTCGAGCGAATCAGAGCTATTGCTCACACTTTCTTCGAGGGCTAAGATGACGCCAAACACGCTCGTACAGACAAGTGAAATAGTCCGGCAGATATTCTCCATCAACAACAAGCAATTGTCCTGCAACAGTTCGAATCAACCCGTCAATCAGTAGCTCTCACTGATTCACCTCACGAGAATCGGTATTTCGTTCTAATATCGATACATTCAGCTGGGAATATATCGGAGAATAATCTGAAGAAACTCAAGAAAGTTTTTTGGTAAAATGTAATGTTCAATTGTCCTTTCATTTTCTAATTTCATTTTCATATTTGAAATAATTTTGTTCTCCTGGTCTCTTCGATTTCATCCATAACTTCATTTGGCGCTTGTGTAAATCCCGTTTATTTCTTTACTTCTCCATTTTCGTCTATCATTAAAGTTTTGAATATTGCTCTGTACAGTGGCATATTTATACTCCTGAACTTTCATATATTGTTTACTTCGAATTTTTGAAATTTGTGATCCATTAATTCTATTGTATTTATTATTCTCTTTCCAGATCATCAGTTTTTTTCTGCCTTCTAATTTCACCCATCATAGTAACCTCGAAATCTACTATTTTATGAGTACAAAAAAGATTTCGCTGAATATTACTTTTGCCATTTCAATCTGTCATGATTTCTACCAGGAATTAGTTGGTTTCTAAATACATGTCCAACATTTCACTATTTTCTACAAAAGGCAAAGTTTTTCTTCATTAACAAGTTGCTCTTCTAATTTTCCAGGTTGCTTGCGAAACTTTCTGTCTCGATGACGATGATACTCTCTTAGAAGCAACCATGACACTTCAGAGCGAATCACTCACAGCGCAAAATGTGAGATTTGTAGAATCAAGAGCTACAGCGGCGCCAGTGGGATTGTCAAAATGTCATAACAAAAAGGTACAGAAATATCTTTATAGGAAATATAAACAAATTGAACATTTGATTGAACCAAAAGCATCCGTAATTCAACACCAGTCTACAGATGCTTTGTTCTTTAGCTCCAATTTCATCTACTTACTTTGCAATGGAGGCAGTTGGAAGCTAGTTTTCTTTTGATATTTGCGGAACAAATCGTCTGACTATCCTACAGATGGTTTCTTTGTAAAGGGAGGTTTGAACTTGAACACTTCCTGTGGAAGTATTGAAGGAGAGAGACAAATCTTCCAACCTTTCTTCGATGTTCCAGACTATCCAGGTTGCAAGTGATGTTCACGTCTCCAATCAGGTGGATGGTTCTTTTCTTGATACAATATAGCAGCTTCAGGACATGCTTAGGGGCGCAGCTCCATACATGAAAATAATACTCCTAAGAAGGTCCACTCTGAACTTTATGAAGCATCAAAAGTTGCTAAGGTGTGTACAGTTTTCTGGTTCAGAGCAGTGTTCCAAGCTTTTGAGAAGCAGACTTAGCAATTCCAGCGACATGATTGTGCCAAGGCATATTGGTGTCCATTCCAACCCCCAACAAACTCGTCAAAGCATAAAGCAAAATTGTCTGGCCTGTCATTATTATATTTGATTGGAAGACGTTTATATTTTTGAAGAAAACCGATGCCTGGGTTTCTGTAGTATTGAAATGAACCTGGTTACTTCCTCCCTAATTCTAAATCACCGAAAGCCTTCCGAATATTCGAGAATATGGTAGTTTACGGCTCCTTCCATTATTTTTTATGTCACTGATAGCAAATCGACTTCATGGACAGTTGAATCTAGCATTCCATTCATGGAATGCTACTGATGAGATCTAAGGCAGATCGAAACAGCGCTTTCTGATTGTAGATCAAAACTTCATTTGGTAGTCTAGCAGTGAGAACTACAGAGGAAAACAGGACACGAATATTGTTTGGTGATCGATGTAGAAGCTTGGCTTCACAGCGAATTGCCTCTGAGAACTTGGTTCATCTTCGAAATTCTTATGGTGCCTCTGTAAGATAAGCTCATACATGCATATAATAATGATTCATACCATTTTATGATCGTCAAACTTCAGCAACACAACTCTTTCTGTGTAGGTTTCTGTGTCCAAACTGCTTCGAAGAACCAACCTACACGGCGAGAAATCTACGAAAGCTACTTTGCTGTTGGAATTCAGAAGCAGTCTTCCGTATAAACCGGGAGATCATCTCGGGGTGTTCGCTAAAAATAGGCCGGACTTGGTGGACGGGATAATCAAGAGGCTGAAAGGTGTGACAGATCCTGACGTTCCTGTCGAGATGCAGATCCTTCAGGAAACACATACTTCTAATGGTGAGTTACTGAAAAAACTCGAGTTAGTTCAGGCTGTTTCCATGAAGGGGCATGAGCTTATAGCAGCCCCCCCAACAACCAGTGTAACTGAAAAGTCATGTAAAAAACTGTATATGAACGTCTTGAAGTGAGTCTTCAGATTCTAGTGAAAGGTATGAATAATAATAATGAAAATAACAATGCGAATGAATTATAATATGCTGACAGCAAGTCCAGTATAACGGTCTCAGGCTATATCTGTCGGCACAACAAGGCCCCTAAGAGTGATTTATCGCCATCTACGGCCCTTTTACGATATTAACGAGACATTGGTTTTGCCTTACGCTCCGGGGAATACCGAACATAGATTTTCATTATCAATATACATATAACTGATTTACGAAATATTTCTTTGGGGTGATACTTCTTGCTTTCTGAAACATGGCTTTCATTATTCTCTTTTGGAATTATTGACCATAGAAACATTGTGAATTCGATGAACGGGCTGTTTCAAATGAGTTTTGTTGTCAAAATGAATTATAACAGGCAAAAAGTCACAAAATTTGGTGTGGGTGATAAAAGAGTAAATAGAAAAAGCATGATTGAACCCAATATAAATTGAAACGGTGAAATGAGGGTGGTGTTTGGGAAATGAGAATGAATTTTTGCGATTTTGGTATAGTTTGACCTACTGAGGCAATTTTATTTTCAGAAAAGTTGTAGATAATATAACATAAGCTGAAATTTTGAGAGAAAAAACAGTTTTTTTGTTTTTGTGTCTTTCGTAAAAATGATTCAATTCACATGAAAATTTGTGACTGTGTACTATTTTTCGTGCTAAATGAGCATGTTTTTTTTAAATTCCGGAAACGGGTGATTTTAAAAATATTCACAGTTTTCCAAAATGAAAATTTCAAAAAAAGCTTTCGTATCATTATGCAAATTGGAAAGTACAATGAACTTTTGAACTATTCAATTAATTTCATCGAATTGTTATCTGATGTACCCAACAAAGGAAACAAGTAATTTTCATGAGTTCGCATAATTAATTTGAAAGAACCTGTCATGAACATTCTGTTCAGACTAATTACATAAAACCAAAAGTTCGCAAACACGCCACATAGCTGGGCAGTAACTTTACTCGATATATTCATTTCTCATACCGGTTGGAGATACTTTTTCAGCATTTCAGAAGAACTACAAATACTTCCAACGGATTTCTGAATCCGAATTATCATTTTTCATATCATATACGTGCCGCGAATGAACAAAAACATTATGTTTCGTAGAATTTCCCGTAGAATTGTTTCTTCTAAGAAAAACCTGAAAATTCATCATATAATCAATTGTATTTTCTCGTGATTCGATTTTTGATTGCTCACTGTTTGGGGAAAATATATTTTATTTCAATAATGAGGAATAAATGCTATTGTGAAGCAAGCAAAACATCGAGTTTTATATTCGAAGATTTGGCGAAGGAGCAACAAAATTTAAAATCTTTTTATCAACAATGTTAGCGCCCGGAATTAATTTTTTTTATAAAACCATTATTTTATTCAGTATTATATCGGTGACCTGGAAAGGTGTGAATTTGAGAAAGTCCTAATGTAGTCAATAGAAAATATATTCAAGTTTTAATGCAATACCAAACGAATAAATATTATTCTGCAAGCAAAACATTTGAATAGTTGGCGAAAGACTAAGATATCAAGGCTATTGTTAAACAAAACCATCGATTTTTCAATTTGATTATTTGGCCGAGGAACTGGAGAATTTATATTGGTATTTTTATCACCAGCGTGGCTGTCCAGAGTTCAGTAATTTTTTGAAACCATTCTTTGATTCAATATCATTTTGATATCATATGAAGGTGTAGTTTTACTCTAATACTAAACGAATAAATGTTATAATGCACGTAGAACATCTTCTTCATTTAAATTTTTGGCGAAGGAGCAGGAAAAATATCATTTTTAAATTTTTATCAACCATTCATTGAATGAATATTATATCGACAACGTGCGAAGGAGTAGTTTCACACTAGTACTAACGAATAAATGCTATAGTGCAAGCAGAACATCGTTTTCGATATTAAAATTTTTGGCGAAGGAGCTAGGAAATTCTAATTTGTATTTTTATTACCAGCGTGGCTGTCTAGAATTCATTTATTTCTCTTCAACTATTCTTTGGTTCAATATTATATTGGTAACGTGTGAAGTGTAGTTTCACTGTAATACTAAACGAATAAATGCTATATTGTGAGCAAAACATCTATTTTAATATTTGAATTTTTGGCGAAGGAACTGGGAAATTCAAATTGGTATTTTTATTACCAACTTGGCCGTCCAGAATTCGATCATTTTTTTCAACCATTCTTCAGTTCAATATTATATTGGCAACGTGTGAAGTTATATTTTCACTCTAATACTAAACGAATAAATGTTATACTGCAAGCAAAACATAGATTTTTATATTTGAATTTTTGGCGAAGGAGCCGGAAATTCAATTTTTTTTTTAAAATTACCGGCGTCCTAGAATTCAATCATTTTTTTTTCAACTATTCTTCAATTCAATAATATATTGGCAATATGTTTAGGTGTAGTTTCACTCCAATTCTAAGCGAATAAATACTGTACTGCAAAACATCGAGTTTTATATTTGAATTTTTGGCGAAGGAATTGGAAAATTAATATTGGTTTTTTATTAACAGCGTCACTGCTCGAAATTAAATGATTTTTTAAAACCATTATTCAATTCAGTATTTTATTGGGAACCTATGTAGGTGTAGATTTGGCAAAATCGTGTGTAGCTATTACTTCAATTGAATTATTCAATATTCATAATACTGATTGAGTGTTAGTCCTTTCAAATCACTCTTTATGAATAAATGAACTTTTTCTATTCTGACAACAGGCAATAGTTCATTGTGTAACTAGTGCAGAAATTGCATTTTTGTTGCATGCATTGAGTGCCATGGATAAACCTCATTTTCTTTTTTTTTATCTCTGCTAGTGTGTTCTTCACTCAAAACTCTTTTTCGAATCGTGATCAAGTTTTCAGTACTAGTACTTGGTTCACCTTACAGAATTTGACTCGCTATTTCACTTTTCAGAAATTGATTCTTCAATGTAGCCTTTGGCTACAGTTGAACACTCCCATCCTCCATGGCGTTTCAATGTTAGCATATCAATACGATCGTAAAAAATAAAAAAAATACGTAAATAAACATAGAATTATAACATAATAATTTCAGAATTGCTACTCACCTGTATTGTAATAGTCCTCATTAGGGAAGATTTTCATTTCCATTTCATGGACTAATTGAAAGACATCATCATCATATAAAGAAACGGAACTGCCTAGCAAACATTTCAGAACAATGAACATTTTATTAAAATTGAATATTTCCTCTTCAGATGGGATATTACCTACTGTTTATCACTCTCACATTTCAGGTGTCATGAAAAGCTGGAAACCACATGAACGGCTTCCATCCTGTTCGGTCAGAGAACTATTTACTCTTTATCTGGATATTACCACGCCACCGTCGCCAAATTTGCTGCAGCACTTCGCATCAATCGCCACAGACGAGGAAGAACAAAAAAAACTCAATTTGCTTGCATCTGTGAGTACTCATTTCGAATATATCATAAATTTTAGGTGAAATTATTGGAAAATTGTGATTTGTTTGGTTCAAGAGCAACATTTAGGAATAGATTGTACAAAACATCTACGCCAGCTCATGAACTATTTAGTAAATAATGAACTCAGAATAATGCCATTTCATTTATTCTTCATTATCAAGATTTATTACAGTTATATCATTTTTGGGTCAGTTTATATACAGAAAGCTTCAAAATGGAAGAAAGTTACAGATTATTTGGGAATGAAAGGTTTTCTACTTCTCCATCTTTATAGAAAAACACGTGAGAATCTCCCAAAGGAACAAAGAAAGCAAATAATTTCAAAATGAACTCTACACGAAGATATGTAGATAAATTGCATGAAAAAGCCCTCTCAAAACAACTACTATCAATTAATTTCGAATCACACGAAAGAAAAAATACTACCCTTATACGTACATCGAATTATACAAAAACACTTTTTCGTATTCAGTTTTCACTTCAAACATTCGTTATGAAATGGAATCAGATATTCACAGAAAAGGCTACACAATGAACGTAATTGTTTCGAAAGGGTTTTTGCCAGTTTTCTTCTGCTTTTCAGGTTGCTTACTGTACCTCAAAAGTGAAGTTCAGCCAGTATTATCCATTAAATTGGTTATTTCTCATAACACTTCTGTTTTAATCATTTTCACTTGAAGTCTACTCAAGTAGACGATGCGTTTCATTTCCAGATGTGCAACAAAAATTTTCATAATAATATTTGCGGCATTCTAACAAGGCTACTGTTCACAGTAATGATTCTATAACGATCCAATTCGGTGAATCATGTAGCAAAGATCCGTTTGGCTTCAAAATAAAATTCTGTTGTGATGCTAGGTATCGCACGTTAAACAGTAAAACCCCGAAAATCCTTAACGCTCACAAGTTTCAACTCATCAGAGTTGTCGTTTGTAAAGGGGCGTCAGCTGGTCAACTGAAAACCAGATTTCAACAGGGTGTTCAAAAGATACAAATCTATGACCTTGAAAAACCAAAAATCGCCCTATCAAAACATCAATGTGGTCAGCGTGAATCACGGGTTTATTGAAACTAACTTACATTCAAGGATTCTGCCTCTTACGAGGACTGGCGACATTGGAGATTTCCCCACCTGCTAGAGGTTCTTGAAGAATTTCCTTCGGTCAAACCGTACGCGCCTCTTCTAGCAGCTCAACTCAGCATCCTGCAACCGAGATTTTATTCGATTTCTTCTAGTCCGGCTCTGCACATTAACGAAGTTCACTTGACCGTAGCTGTTGTAGTATATAGAACGCAAGGTAAGACATTTTTCGTTAGAAGTGAAACTGATTAGGTCATATTTTGAACATATTTTAAATATATTTCAAACATATTTGTTTTCGTAGTTGGAGAAGGAGAAATGTAATTATATCAATGTATTCGTTTTCGCAGATGGAGAAGGAGAAATGCATTATGGTGTCTGCTCGAACTATCTACAGGATGTTCCCCTGGATACGGATATAAATATGTTTGTCAGAGGGTAAGTGAAGAATCAGTCACTTAAGGTGAGTAAATTGATGTATAAGTAATCAAATCACCACTCCAGTGATCTAATGGATTATTCTCGAAAGATAGGTTGGTTGGGATCAGGAACAGTTTTTCTCAGAAAAACGATTTATTTCTTATAGATCTTTCGATTTTAAAATAGCTCCTCTGCGGGGCTCTCTGAGAATGAATTTTCAAAATCAGAATATATATGAAGTTACAGAAATAAAAACGATTTCATGAATTCTTCAGTGTAAAGCTCACAGTAATGTACTACTTGAATATGGTTTGTTTCCTTCGAAATATGTAAAGGGCTCAAGACACAATTCATGGCAATTCGGAAAACAACCACTCTTACTTTTGCCAAGTAGTTGGATTGTTCGATACACTGAATGGTAGTCGTTTAAACTCCCATGGTTTCGTCATGCAAAGTCATAACATGAACCTAAGAATTTGGTTAACTCGACATTCTCCATATTTTCTACAGACTTTGAAACCGCTTTATATGTGTTTCTCAACTGTTGAAATACAAAGAGACACGTTACTTATAACTCGTGTGATTTTTAATCAGTTTCACTCTGATGGTCGGGAAGAACTACATCAGACTTGTTAGCTTGTGTTAGCTTCGATAAGTCGACGTCTCCAAAGTTGTTAAAGAAGACCCTATGCATTTGCTTATCCTTTTGTTGCCACAGGAGTTATCTCTGCTACTATTATCATTATTATTTTCATTTAACTTTCTTGTATTTTTGGTCTGGGTAATACCAATTTTGCTATGGAGTTCGAGAATGGTCACTATGTAATTTAAAACCTACAAGGAATCTGAACTCTCTATATGAGGCTTGGGTTGATTGTTTGATGCTACTTAACCGTTTTCATAAACGCATCTGTAATATTCAACAATTATTATTGTTATGTTTTAGGATGAAAATAGATACCACGAAGACATATTTGGCATTACTTTACGAACGGCAGAAGTTCACAACAGGTCCAGGGAATCTGCTAGAATACGTATGGCATCGGAACCTTAACGTTAAATAGTACCCAGGATCATTACTAGAGTCTAATCAAAATAAATTAATACGTTTCCTCTTGTGAACATAAGGTTTAATAATCTTCCGTCTGTCAAACCCGGCTTTCAGAGTTAATGTATCCACAATATACCACTTCTGAATGATGTTCAACCGCTTCAGGAAGATTCTTTGGATGAAAATCAAGTAGTGGGGGTTCTGAAAATTGTTTGGAGCGGTTTTTTTTTATAATTATCACATATTCAGTCAATTGGCGAGATCGGTAAATACTTGAGGGGTTTTCATAAATTAACGTTTTCATATAACGAAACTGCGAAAGCATAGCTTATCGGACATTCTGTCAAGAAATTGGTCATCACCAGCTCACTTGGAAAACTTCAGTCAACTTCTAATAGTGTCAATTTGTTTGACGAACCGAGAGCCACGCAATGTAGGCAGCTTTTCCTATGATCCACAGAGATTAAATAACTCTGATCCATGGGGTAATGACAGATTTTAGTTTTTACGAATTATTTCGAAAAGGAACGACACCAACATAAATGTTAATTGCATATAACGCATTTGAGGTCATTATTTACCTATGGAAGTTTTGCCAAAGTATGATGATAATTGAATGGTGTCGAGGGCAATAATAACAATGTTAAGTGGCATTCCAAGTCATAATAAGTTTTAGTCGACAGTTTTAGGTTGATATTCACAATTTTTGTAGTACAAATCCAAACAAAACATTTTAGACTTTCTACCTGAATAACAATGAACTCTGAAATGGTTTAATAATTCGACTGGACTATCAAAAATATCTGTGAAGACCATTCAGTAAAGTTTTTGCGGGGCAGGTGTTAGAGAATAGACAGCATTTTCAATATTTTATAAATATTATTCGCATCCGGGTAGGCATAACATTTTTTTTATAATTTCAATGAATGTGTTAAAACGTTTCAAAACCCTGTATATTAGTATGACACATTTGCCCAGGATTGGTTTTGGGAACATGGAAAAAACGAATTTCTGAAACTCTAAACAGTATCGTACTATTAGAGTTTGTATAAAAAATCTTAACAGTCATGGATTCTTAGAACCGTTAGATTCTTAGGATTTCCACTTTAGCCTCGATCCATCTGAATAAAAATCCGCCAAAAGAATCAATAGATTCATTCGGGGTCTCCTGAAATATGCTATTGAATAACATTTTCTAAAAAACTGTTATTATTACCCTCGATGACCAATTTATAAAAAGTAAGAGGCAATTATAAAAATAGAGGTTCTCTTCTAGGGTAGAAAAATTTTTCAATTCTCTTGCACAAATCAATTCAAATTTCGAACTTGCACTAAACAAGATATAAATTATATTTATTGTGATGGACATGTATATTATAAAGATTTTTAATATATATCTGTGGTGGTGAGCATGGCTAAAACTACTAATCTTGGTGTTTTTTATTGATAATTATGTTGATCATCGAATTTATGTATGATATGGAATAAAGAAAAAATACTAATCTATTGAAAACGATATTTTTTTACCTCCAATCCATTATCAGCTACTCATAAAACTTTTTTTTTCTGATTGATGGGGTCGTTACTTGATGAAGGTCCATAGCAATTTCAAAAAGTACATCTCACGATTTGATCTCCACAAACTTCATTTGAAAAATATATCAGAACATGTTTCGATAACATGTTTGAGGGTTAATATCATTTTCAAACATATTCCATAATCGCATTTACAAAGAAGGAACTTTCCTCGACTGTTTTGCTGATTCTTCAATTGATCACCTTGATCACCTTGTACTGCAGTTGAAACTATCAATTATATACAGGGTGATCCAAAGTTCCGGAACGACTCAATAACTTAATAATGTGCATCTGTAAAAAACCTCGTACTTGATCTTATAAATTATTTGAAGGCAGAGTTATTTTTTCTCATGGGAGCGCCAAAAGAGCGGAAATGATGACAATCCTCTATGACCTTGACCAACGTTAGTGACCTTTCAAGGTAATTTCAATGTCAAACAAACGAATTGTTGACAGAATTACTCGACAATTAATCTTGATGAAATATTTGAGGGTCAAAGCCAAATTTTAAGTGGAACCCAACATTTTGGACTCGGAAGAAGAAAAATCGGAACAAATATCGATCGAGTATGACCTTGAGTGAATTTAAACTGTTAAGGTCTTTTGAAGGTAAACATTCAGAATGGTAAAGTGAAAATGAGACTCATTGTGTAAGCAGAAGAGAAGGTACAAGGTAATAACGCTTTGTTGAAGTCTATAATTTTGATCACGAAATCAGAAATAACGGGAAAAGTGACTATCGACTACGGCGCCATAATTCCCTAGTTCATTCTTACATTCCAAAGTTAAACATTTCAAACAATTCAAAAATAAAAACGATATATCCATTTGGACTGTGAGTTGAAAAAAAGAAGTGAAAAAAATTGAAATACAAAATGATTAGGACCATAACCGATATCCCAGTCCCACTATCTCGTTTTCTGATCTGAAAAATTCTGGTTCCAATCAAGAAAGGGTTTGAATTGAAAATAATTTGCTTGAAAGGTCCATTGCCGGAACCTCAAGAATAAAGGCTCACCATCGTTTAAACCATTTATCTCTTGCCGATTTAATAATGTTCGTCCTCCAAAGGACTTCATAGAGTCACTCAAGATCATAGCCGATCATATTTTTCACAGCCATTTTTGCTTCCGACACAAAAAACATGGATAACCGTTTGAAATACCAACCTCATTCTTCAAATAATTCGCAAGATCGTGCTCAAACTATCGAAAAACGTGATCATCTTGTACATTTCTTTTCTTCCACCATTTGACACGCTTGACCTTCAAATAACCTTCAGAAGTCAAGGTCACGCCAGTCAGTTTGTTACGCTCCTTTGGTTTCCTTGATGACATTCAAAAAATCTGCAAGGTCATCATCAAGGTCAAATTGACAGTCACCATCGCATATTCAGGAAAAAACCTTCCTCAACCTTCCTGGTTATTCACTAATGCTTCACACAGTCGAGTAATCCAGCCGTACCAGGACATTTGGATCATTCTGTATAATCTAAAGTTAGAAGTGAACCGCAATTATGTATTATATCATATCCCTAGAAAATAACTTTTCCAAACTCCTCTTAAGATCTTGGTCATACATTTAATGTAACAAAACTTCAAGATATAAAACACCAATCACAAATATGTTGTTATACAAAAATACACTCTCTTCGTAACATTACAAGATAAATCTAGATTTAAAATCTGTTGACGAAACAAAACAATCTTAACCTAATGTATTAATTTTTTCATAAGAAATATCCATATGAGGGGCAACTATGCACATTTTGAATACTTCATTCGACTGAGTCCCGTTAAAGCTTTGCAAACATTTTGAGATTCTAGAATATTTTCTCTGGATGTAGATTCTCGTATGGATATGTCCTATGCAATATACTATACTAACTTCGAGGTTAACAATAAGTTAGAATTCAGGTATTTTTCACGCATAGATATGCCTTCGGTAGCTATTTTTTATAGAACTTGCTAGACACAAGCCGAAAACTGCTCCGACGATCTGAAAATAAAAAAAAAGAGTTGAAATATTTGTCAAATGATGGTATTAATAATATTTATTGATACATCAATACTCTCAAAGTGTCTCATTAAATCCATAAGAACTTTGTTTCAGTAGAGAGTTGTCGATAATGAATTGCTCGCTAGATCTGTAAGAGTTTTTGTGAACAAATCGAGAACCACTGATTTCCACGTCTTCAAAATTAACTTATTTGTCTGGCACCAAGAGAAAACTGTATTGAGACCATTTTTAAATGCCAATACAAGTTGTTCTTCATTGATTAATAGTATTATTAATTAATAATAATGTTACTAATAATCTCTACGCACACAAATCAAAAGCATAGACTACGCTTGAAATCCGCTATGTGTTATTGTTCCATCAATTTATACTTCTGTGGCTTGGAACAAAATCAACCGATGCTAATTTGATGTTATTTTTTCTCTAATTTGGGTAAGCTCGACTGTATACCTTTGAATGAAATGGAAGGTTTTTCAAGTACATGTTAATTGAAGTAAAATCACTCACAGACTTTGTGGAGTGTTATTCTGCGGTAACTTAACTAGAATACATTTATTTAAAGAGTAAGTCTACTCACCTCAACGACAGCAATACCAATCGCGACACCACCAATGATTTTGGAGTATCTCTCCAGTTGCCTGACAAGTTCCTGAGCACAACCAACATCGTACGCGTTATTGTTCAGCGTGTTACATTCGACATGGATGTTCGGACAACAGCTATTCGGAATTGGCTTGCTGATGGAACTGTAATCGGAAGGTCCATTGACACCACAACATCTCAACTGAAAAGAGAGTGAAAGCATTAGAAAATGTTGGGCTTTCACGGTCATAGTCTGCTATATCCCTATCATTTGTCATGTTTTGGGATCGTTATCTCATAATCAAAGTAGTGCTCATCCCTTTATGTTTTCATTTCCATGGAATTATTTTCCAGTAGCTCCACAACGTTAACCTTTCTTAATTTATCATCATTTCTAGAAACACGTGGATTCGTTTTCCGATGGCTTTCTAGACGATCTTTACAAACTTTCGCTAATACAGGTGTCGGTTTCGAAGATTGATCAAACCACCGATCAAACACCGACATAAAAACTTGACAAGCAAACTTGGGCGTCACACCAACAGGTGGTGCTACTTACGTAGGTGATCCAAAAAGTAACCGGCTCGACCTAGAGATGGCGGTAGTTGTTCAAAAAGTATCACTGTATTAGAAAGTACACAATGTATTGAGTATATGTCAAGTTTGAAGCCGCTGCGTTGTTTACTATTACTTTGGCAGCCATCAATAGCGAAAGTTTACGGTGAATTTATGAAAATGGAGAAAATTGGTCATCGTTATGTTATGCAAAACTTTTATTTGAAAGGCCTCAGCCCAACTAATATAAAAGCTAAACTGTATTCAACTCTGGGTGAGTCTGCTCCTTCGTTAGCAACAGTGAAATATTGGGTAGCAGAATTTAAACGAGCTCGTACGAGCTGGTACTGATGATGAATAACAGCTCAAACTACTGTCTACAGGTGGCATGTTAATTGGAATCAAATTGTAAATGGTCGGTATATTACTTATCCATTTATCTTGTCTGTCTTGGCTGCAGTTTGAACAAACATCAACATTTTGTGAGAATATCGATCAGGCTTTATGAGTGATTTTGAAGAGTCGAAATTGTGAGTGATAATAATAATAATAATGATTAATTCTCCTCTGGTTTCACATTTTTGTACATACATATGACACAGTGCAGAAGATAGGCGGGGAAGGGGAATAAATGGGCAAATCTACAGTAGATCAAGTCTGTGCGTAGGGAATTAGACGGCGTGGGGAATATTACGCAACACGTGTTCCGTCATTCATCATAATGAAATGTGTTTTGAATACGTTGAAGAATATTTATGGTACATCGGGCATTGCCCATTTCAGGTCCCGGGGTGTTTATTAAACATGCGGCAAAAATTCAAGGTGCTAATCCTTGGCCTATTCTAAGGATATTTTGTCTCATGATGATTTTTGATAGAGCATTTAGGGCATACGGAGCAAAAAAAAAATTTGACAATAACAATTTATTACTGAAAATTACATGTAATGTTTCTTGATCTACAAGAACTGTTGAAAATGACTGCCCCCCGTTTGGATGCAAGAATCCAATCTTCTCCTCTCCGACTTCCGAACTCTTTCGAAAACACCAGGATCACTTATGAGACATACTATTCAAATTGAATGTCTGCAGCCATTTGTGGTAATCGGAATGTTGTTGATAGGTACCATCAGATGCTACAAATACAATACGCATATATACAGACGGCTCAAAAACAAAAAAAGGCTCAGGATGTTGAGTGTACTCCATATCACTGAGCCTACGGATTAAGTGGGGAATGGGAAAAAATACCAGCGTGGTCCAAACAGAACTGGCTGGTATCTCAATCGCCACAAAAGAAATAGCCAGAAAAGGAATTTCTGGCAAAAACATAACAATCTGCACTGACAGCAGACAAGCCCTATTAGCCTTGAACAGACAACGTATAACCTCAGGGCTAATACTATAGTGTCGTCAAGGTTTAGCCAAAGCCTTGGTAGATAATAACATTATCCTGAGGTGGGTTGAAGGGCACGACATGAGTGAAAGTAATCGCATTGCCGACTCTTTAGCCAAGGAAGCGGCTGGACTAAGAATTTTAGGACCCAGTGGCACTTACGGCCTGATGACTTTGACAATTGCGGAACTAGCCTAATGTTACATCCATGCTCAATCCTCAGATAGATGGGATGGAATCGAAGGATGCAATTTCGTCAGGATCACTTTGGGCGACCCTGGGAAGCTGGCGCCGAAGAAATATCTGGCAATGACCAAGAAAAATCTACGCTTGACAGTAGGATTTCTGACTGGCCACTGTCAACTAAGAAAATACCTTCATAATATGGAGCTAGTGGACACGCTTCTATGCAGAATGTCGGGCATGTCCTATGCGAGTGACCGGAGTTATCGTCAATAAGAGAGTGTGTGTTCGGCGAGTCTTGGCCTACACCTGCCGATATAAAGGAGATGTTTCCAAGTGACCTGTCTACCTTCCTGGAAAGGACAGGATGGATGATGCCCTAGGAGGACAACTCTTCGGGAGGATGTACAATGGGTCACATGTGGCCTAGGTGCTGTAGGCTTATACTCACCCTCCCTACCCTACAGATACAGAGAGGTACCAACGGAATTGTTAGATTTTTTACTGGTCGGTAGCCAGGCAGTTCGACCTGGGTGATTTGTTCACTCACTCGAATTGACTGCCGTGTTGGTCGGTGGTTCAAGTCCCAGTCTGAACGATCTATTTTCACTTGCTATCATACAACCCGTGTTAGGAATCACACGTTGAAAGGTAGAACTTGGTTACTCCTAGCTCGTTCAAGTTTCGTCTTCTGAGGGTTGTCTTTCGTAAGGGTGTGACAGCTGGTTAATGGAAAAAGAGATTTTTCAAACAGACTACTCGGTAGGTCCAGTGCTGTAGGCTACATTTTTATTTCGGTGACGTTGATGATTTTAAAACTACTGAAATTGTTATTGTGCAGACCACACGGACTCACCCAGTAAAGTTATCGGTCAACCACCCAATCCCACACCTGCGGGTAACAGGCGTTGGCCGGTTCCAAGCTAGATGTGTGGGAGAGGTGCCTCGCAAGAGCCCTCGGCGGTTACTCATCCAACGCTGGAAAGGTAACTTTCCTAACATGAGTGCCCCTCGGGGTAACGTAAGGGTATGCGGTGCAGACCACACGGCGTACACCCAAAAGTTGTTGATGAACCGCCCTATCCCGCACCTACACGGGTAATGGGCGCGACATTTTTGACATATGATGTGTGGTAGAGGATGCTCGTGAGAGTCCTCGACGGTTACTCATCAAACGTTGGAAAGGGAACTTTCCTAACATGAGTTCTAGGGGGGAGGTGAGTGCAAGCTCGCGGCTGGAGGCTAGTGAGCCTCATCTCCAACTGGCGTTGGCCTCTTAGGGGCAGCGGCTCCGCTAGCGGGTAAAGGGATACAGGGTTGCGGTAATCCATTCATGGGTGCATTGCAGCCCCTTTCTGAGGCACTGGACGGCCTATGCTGTTCCGTGATCCTCGCCTGCTTCTGTACGGATCCAAGCGTTCGAGGTGTCGGGGCTCGCGGTCCTTCCGGGCTCTAGTATTCGAGTCTAGTCTTGGAGGGCACCAAGGCAGACGCTTGAGGTGTCGGACCCCGGTTGGACGGAGCTACTAGTATCCGAGCTCAGGACCCCGACCGGCCACTTCCGGGACCATATTCCCAATTGATTTGGCATGGTTGGCGGGGGCAGGTGAGCGACGCGAGCACTCTCTGGCGAAAGAAGAGCTTAGTTAACTTGTACGAACGTTCGGTCGAACGCTGCCGATGGTCCTGTCTCTTGGTTAGCCACACTAAGTAGATGTAAGGAAGCAATTCCGGGTTCGCTGAGCGGGAGGAAGCCCTGCGAAATCCTGTTGGTGTGGGGTGAGGGGCGGTACCCGCAAGGATTTCCCGAAAATCCACCCCTCCACACCCGATCGCATCCAACGCCAGGGTGCGTCTGGGGGGCTTAACCGGCCCCCCAGGCCCCCCGGTGCGGTCGTAACTATGACTCTCTCGCTTCGCTACGGTCTTCGAAACAAAGCTTCCTAACAAAAAATCATCAAAGGACAAAATATCCTTGGAATACTACCAGAAGTAATTTTTTACGGCATGTTAGATAAACAGGCTTCATGATAATAGTTTAATATTATTATTAGTACTAGTAATTGACGGTTGATTCATGTTAATCAATTTAGCGGTATTTGTGACATTAAACATTTTTACTTATATTAGTTCGGACTTCCATTGCCTAATATAATATAGATGGACTTGAAATCCCTGAAAGAATCTTCGAAAATTAAAAAGATCAGCTGAAAAAACAATTTCATCAAGCAGAAAACTGAAATTACAATGGAATATTATACAAGCAACAGCCAAAAAATTGAACTATTGACTAAAAATCATAGGTTCAATAACAAAGGTGCGCCGGGACCTAAACTAGACAATTCCCAGAATTTCCACCCCCTATATGCACTAATTGATTTGTTTCGACACCACTGGTTGAAGTGATAATTCTGCTGATGATACTGTCACTTTGAATAGTTTCTCCGTCTAGCGAAATACGATATCACTTATAAAACATTTCCGGTGTCATTGACTCCAAATCGAATTGAACCGAAGCAACCGGGCCAAATCATCATAACAGAGTCGTGCTGTTACTGAATCGACTCAATGTATCTAAAATTGCGCCAGCTGTAGCCGATACTGGTCAACAGAAGAGGTCGGATTGCCATATTTCCAACCACTCTCCCACCTGTAAGACCTTGGTCAATCAGGACCAGGCAAAACGGCCTTCATTGACTTCATCGAAACCCTAGTACTTAATTTTTATGCTGACGAAGTTACTCGACATGTGTTAAGTTGGCAACAGCACTGATTCGAATTCACTGAGATATAACAGTTCAAAGTAGACTCAGAAAAACGGACAGAACTTTTGAAACGAACCCAATATCTACTAAGAAAAAATCGTGAAAAATACTTACAAATCTCTGTGCAACTTGCATCGTTTCGTTGGACTCTTGGTTTTTGTACATGTTATTGAATGTTGTTTCAACGCTTTGGTGGATAGTCTGTTCGAATTTGCCTTTGTCTTTGATTTGCAGGAATGCGTACACGCCTACGGCTACTTGAAGGATGAAAATGGTCAGAAGGACTATGGAATACTGAAAAAAAATCATTTATTTTGTTGGCGCATTTGTAAGTTGTCAAGTGGTTGCAACAAACTGATTTTGACTTACTGAAATTTGATTTATTTCATTCACTACCAACCTGCATTGGGCGAATAGAAATCGATTAGTTTTACTGGGTTAAGCAATTAATTTTTTTCAGTCGGATGTATGCAAAAAAAACTATCAAAGAAAGAGATGACAACATGAACACTTTCACGTGTGACTTGAAAAACTCATTATAATTAATCGACCAGTTTGTCCTACATAACAGTTAAATTAATAAATTATATCAACTGGTGTTTGTCCAAAACGAAAAACATTTCCAATCGTATTTTTCGTTGAGAAATCTTCGTTTCATTATGTTTTTTGATTTTGTGACTCTCAGTGTAAGAGTTTTCAATTCAACCTTTCCAAAGAGATTCCTGAGTGAACGATTCGGAATATTCAAATTTCGAAATGTCATCACTATATAGTAACCTGAATATCTAATAAAGAGGATTTTCATAATAATAACACATTTTCTCAGTATGAAGGTAACCTTCAGTTTTTTACAAAAAATTGGAAACATTTTTGAAGTAAAATTCTGCAAATCAGTCTTTTCTGACGAACGATCAGGACGAAATTCATCAAACCAGTTTTTTCTAAGGAACTACCACGACCAAATTCTTAAAATCAGTCTTTTCAGAGGGAAGACCGGAACGAAATTTTGCAAATCACTTGTAAACGACCAGGATGAACATCATCAAACAAGTCTTCTGTGTGGGCCTGCCAGAACGAAATTCTGCAATCTGGTCTTTTCTGATGAAAAACTAGTACGAAATTTCACAAACGATACTTTTCTGAGGGACTACTAAGTCTAAATTCTGAAAACCAGTCTTTTCCGAGAAACGACCAGGACAAACTTCCGCAAAACAGTCTTCACTGAGGTAACATCGGTACAAAATTTTGCAAACCAGTTTTTCTAAGGAACGACCAGGGCAAAATTCTGCAAACCAGTCGTTTCTGAGAGACGGATCAGGACGAAATTTTGCAAACCAGTCTTTTGTGTGAGCCTACCAGGACGAAATTTTGCAAACCAGTCTTTTGTGTGGGCCTACCAGGACGAAATTCCGCTAATCAGTCTTTTCTGAAGGACGACAAGGACGAAATTCTGCAAATCAGTCTTTTCTGATGGACAATCAGGACGGAATTCATCATACTAGTCTTTTCTGAGCGACGACAAGGACGAAATTCTACAAACTAGTCTTTTGTGTGAGCCTACCAGGACGAAATTCTGCAAACCAGTCTTTTGTGTGGGCCTACCACGATGAAATTCTGCTAATAAGTCTTTTCTGAGAGACGACAAGGACAAAATTCTACAAACGTCTTTTGTGTGGGCCTACCAGGACGAAATTCTGCTAATCAGTCTTTTCTGAGGGATGAAAAGGACGAAATTCTGCAAACCAGTCTTTTGTGTGGGTCTACCAGGACGAAATTCCGCTAACCAGTCTTTTCTGAGAGACGACAAGAACGAAATTCTACAAACAAGTATTTTGAGTGAGCCTACTAAGACGAAATTCTGCAAACCAGTCTTTTTTGTGGGCCTACCAGGACGAAATTCTGCTATCAGTCTCTTCTGAGGGAGGAAAAGGACGAAATTCTGCAAACCAGTCTTTTTTGACATATGACAATAACGAAATTCTGCTAATCAGTCTTTTTTGAGGGACGACAAGGACGAAATTCTGCAAACCATTCTTTTCTGAGGGACGATCAGGACGATATTTTGCAAACAATTTTTTTTTTGAGGGACGACAAGGACGAAATTCCTCCAACTAGTCTTTTCTGAGGACCGATAATGACGAATTTCTGCAAACAAAACTTTGCTGGGAGACGATCAGGACGAATTTCTGCAAAACAAGTCTATTCTGAGGAACGACCAGGACAAAATTCTACAAACCAGTGTTTTTCGAGAGATGACCAGGACGAAATTCTGCAAACCAGTCTTCTATGGGGGCCTACCAGGACGAAAATCTGCGAACCATTTTTTTTGAGGCACGACAAGGGCGTAATTCTGCGGACCAGTCTTGTTTGAGGGACGACAAGAACGTAATTCAGCCTACCAGTGTTTCCTGAGAAACAACCAGGACAAAATTTTGCCAGCCAGTCTTTTCTGAAGGACGACCAGGGCGAAATTCTTCAGACTTCTGTCAATAACAATTCTCTTCTGCTGTTAGGTCTATCTTATCCTCAGACATTTTCCACAATATCCTTCAAAGTGAGAGCTATTTGGTGAGGAATACCTTCACTCAATACAAATATTGTTATTACTCGTATTATAAACTTTGTCTTCGATAACTCACCGTCGTTAACATGCACGTGCTTTCTTTAACAGCTCCACAGCATCCTAAGAAGGCGGTGATGAAAACTATAGCACCGATGATGATGGAAAGAACAGGTGCAAGGCCGAATTCTTTGGGGAAGATACTAGATGCCTCTCCAACATTCAACTTTATCATTATACCAACTATCACCAGGGCCAAGCCAGCCAACTGAAATAAAAAAAGAGGTTGAACATATTATGAATGAGGTGAATATTTACAAAATTAAAGGCCACGACATTATCCGGATGTATGGCCCTTTGAACTGAGACTGTGTTTTGTCCAAGTGTGTTTCTCCGAAAAATGTTTTTTATTATCAAAATTTCGAAATTGTTTAATCAAATGAAGATTTCGAAAAAAGTGCTGATTGTCTTACTTTTGTGTAATCCACGCCACATGTTTCACATAGGTGAAAAAGAAAGAATATTTAAAGCACGCATGAAGGAACATAGAGGCAGTTTTCAGAATAGAAAGTCGAGTGCAACGTTTCCCTCCGTATCGTATTCAACTGATCTCTTTGTAGAAAGACGTGAGTTCAATCATGAATACCAGCATGTCTTTTTGAAATGAAAACTGCTTTTGTTGTGTACCGATAATACGAACGAAAGATTTGAGATATGCACGTTCCGCTGATGTAGATAAAAACGCCACTAAACAACATTTTCCAATAAAATTCGAAACAAATATTTTCTTTCTGCTGGTTTTGCAGTCCATTGATTGAGTTTATTATTTTTGAATGGAGAAATAATCTGTTTTTCGAGTTTGTTATTCTGTGAACATTTACTCTGTTTATATTTATAAATGAAACGTTGTTTTGTGGAAAATGCCTATCTACATTTATGCTTGGGCATTTCGGGAATATTTCGAACGAAGAATTTTTCGAGAACATTCTTCATTCGTACCAATCCTCAACTAGGCTCGCTTTAGATTTTTATTATATTAAAGCTATTCATATGTGGGATGGAAAAAATCTATAAAATAATGAAATAGCTGCGTAGAACCATTATGGGAACCTTTTATATTATTCAGTATAATATTCGAGTATTACTTTTACTTTTTCATTTATTTTGATTGTTTTCACTCAATAAAGATGTTGAAATAGGTAATATTGCAAAAGAACAACACATCAACCCAATTAGGCAATTATTGCAAACGAAAAATCTGATGCGTTTGCTACAGATATATGGCATTATACTCAACACTGATTTGATTGGAAGAAAGTGAATTTGAAATTTTTGCATAAAAGTTGAGAATCAGTTGGAAATGACTGATGATGTGATGAAAGTGGGTATTTTAGTCATTGCTAGGTTAGATTAGGTTAGAATATCAAACAACTAGTCAGGATGAGGTGAGGTTAGGATAGGTTAGGTTAAGTTAGGTAAGGTTAGGTTAGGCTAGGTTAAGTTAAGTTTAGGTTACGTTAGGTTAGGTTAGGTTAGGTTAGGTTAACTTAGGTTGGATTAGGTTAGGTAAGGTTAGGTTAGGTTAGGTTAACTTAGGTTGGGTTAGGTTAGGTTAGGTTAGGTAAGGTTAGGTTACTTAAAATATGGGTTTAAAGGTGAGGTTAGATCAGCTAGTCGATGTAAAACATACTTTCCTAGTCATATTCCACTACGAGTAGCTAATCTAACCTAACAAATGGGTGGTTTGTAAACAATATATTTTTTATTTCAGTCGATAGTAGATACAAAGAACATTTCTCGCAAATATAAACGGGTTAACTCCATTTTGCTGACCATAATTGTGAAGTTCAACACAGTACATCTCGAACTACACTATACTAAAAAATATGTTGATTAGGAAAATTGTGCTGAATTATTGAAACTGAGCACAAGTAGTATCAATAACTCAAAAGTCTCTTTGTCAAATTTAATGAAAGTATATAGGTGTGTTTATTAGCAGTACCAAGGGATTTCTTTTCATGAAATTTAATTACAGATAATAATTCCAGTGGTGACACAGGTGGTTACCTGATTGATATGTATGATGAAAATCATTGTAGGTGTTTGGAAATAAGTAAACATAATAATATTATTCATAGCTTGTTAAAGTGATATTTCAATCATTAGATTTATCTGACTACTACATAAGGACACATTGTAAAATTAATTGAGGACTAGTAGATGAGGAAATATCACGGTGAAATAATACAACAAGTAGGCTCTCTAACCCCGTGGTCCGCCCGAGTTGCCGAGGACCTGCAACCGCTCTTAGGATGAGATTCTGATCCAACGCGTTCCGTGCTGTAGTATCGAAGGATTCGACGGTACCACGGGCATCGGATCAGTTATAATAAACGGTCAGAAATTGATATTGTGTCGAAGATGATTACTTGGTGATCAAAACACGTGTCGAGGTGTTAAAATAACGGTTTGGTGTTGGGAAACAACTCCAGTAATATTTATTCTGTAACGTATTCAAAATCTTTCTCACAAGAACGCCTATTTTGTAGAGGAGTCAAGCCTCTCATGCACAGAATAACCTAGATCGAACAATGAAAGAAATCAGTTCTAATTTTTAGTGCATTTGTATAAAAGCTTCTCTTTAAAAATGTAGATTTTTTAATGTCACGGAATAAGCTTGATCTGCTTATGTCATCGATGACATCGTAATGACATTCATTCACTTATTTGATTCAATCCCAGCCAAGAGAAATCTCATTTGAATTTTCTCAAAAATTAATCACTTCTCAAAATATAACCCCTTCAATTCATTCATGTCATGTTCTCTAATATGGCCCAAATTTAGGTTAGGATTTCTTACTATGTATATTCTTACAAGATATAAATTTGCAGAACATTCAAACGAAAAAAGTGAAATTCTGGCTAGTAGCTTGAGCTGGGTTCGTAGAGGTGAAACGTATAAAAAAGCAGCAGGCGTGACTACACCAATTAAAATTAAATTAGGTATGACATCATACCTTCGTCAACATCTCTAGATGAAACAAGGTTAAATGGTTGTTCATTGCCGGTTCATTGAGAGATATTTTAAATTAGACTACCTATAATAAAATCAAATATTTCTGCAAATTCCGATCCTAGTCTACAGCCATAACAACAATTTCAGGAAGAAACTTTGGAAGAATCCTTCTGATAAATATACCAGAGCTTCGGTGTGAACTTTGAGTTGTTTCAAAAGTTTCGCTTGTTTTAATGTCATGTGTTGTAGTCATGTGTAGAGTCATATGTAGAGTCGACAATGCGATTACCTTTTCCCCACTCATGCCCTTTAACCCACCTCAGGATAATGTTATTATTTACCGAGGCTTTGGCTAAATCTTGGTGGCACTCTAGTACTGGCCCTGAGGTAACATGTTATCTGTTCAAGGCTAATAGTACTTGTCTGCTATCAGTGCAGTTTGTTATGTTTTTGGAAATTTCTTTCCTCTTCAAAATTGTCTCAGGAATACACTTGAATATTTTAACGTAAATATGTTACACCCTGTATACTCTTGATCTTCCCGACAATGGCGTTTTGTCTTTATTGTTGTTAATAAACTTGAAATTATTATTTGTTCTGAAAGCCACGTCCAGGTCTACCTTTTTCTAAAAAACCAGCGAGTTATTTGATGTTTTCACCAAAATATATCGATGTCCTAATGACGCTCATAATAGTTTTCTTTAAGTCAATACCGCATGTCAGTTCCCAGCCTAAGCAGCGTAAAATATTTTAAGCTTGTTTGAACAAATTGTTGAAAAATTGAAATTATTATTTGTTCTGAAAGCCACGTCCAGATCTACCTTTTTCTAAAAAACCAGCGAGTTATTTGATGTTTTCACCAAAATATATCGCTGTCTTGATGACGCTCATAATAGTTTTTTTTAAGTCAATACCGCATGTCAGTTCCCAGCCTAAGCAGCGTAAAATATTTTAAGCTTATTTGAACAAATTGTTGAAAATAAAATACAGGTGATGCAAAATCGTCTTTGAATTATTTCTCTCATTCGTTTCTATACAAACACTGAAACTTCTTTAGTGAATAATATGTGTGCCTGGTAACCTTTTTTCAAAATGTCCAGTTATCATCAATTAGTTCGCATGGTTAAATGGAACCCATTGTATAGAAATCGACAATAGAAATCGTTGGCAATTGAGATGTTGAATGGAAATGAGAGAAACTCAAATATCTAACAGTAGGTGTGTTCCTGAATTAACATATAATCGAATACAGAGTGTCTTTATAGTCTACTTGAATTCTGGTACTTACTCAACATTTTTTTCGTTTAGTTTGACTGACTACAGTGCTACAGTCAATCTCTGTACAATGAAGATGATATCCAAGTTTATGTATAATTAGAACCTAACTAAAAGAACAAAATGCATCCACACAGCTGAATAGTTACTGAGTGATGATACGAGTAATATTCGGAGTTGAAAATAGGTAAATAGTTACCTATTTCCAGTGTCTTTTACTACTGAATTGAAAATAAACAAAGAAAACACAAACAATTCGGAAAAAATGTATTTACTTTTCAACAAAATCTCTTCGCAGCTCTAGGCACTTCTACAATCTACGTTAAATAAGTTCGATACCGTTTTATAAAAAAAATCTAATGATGAAAGATCAGGTGATCGCGCTGGCAATTGCAATCTTCGTCTCCCTATCCACCGATTAGGAAATGTTGTATCGAGGTTTTGTCGGACAGTAACTTGGTAATGTGGTGGTTCTCCATCCTGCTGAAACCAAATCGTATCCACTGGAACTTGAGGGTTTCCTGGATCAGGATATAAATTTGCTAAACTTGGAACGACATCATTTTGAAGTAGTGCCCAAACTTTAACCTTTTGAGGGTATTGCGTGTGTTCTTCTCTCATCCAGTGAGGATTTTCCGTTGACCAGTAGCGGCAATTTTGCCGATTAGCATAACGTCTTCTACCTGGATGATATTGTTATCCAACGTATCCATCATTCACCCACAAAAATGAGTTCTTCTATCGAAATCATCATCTATGTCTACTTGATTTGTGTGGGTTTTCCTCAAACCAAGCATCACATCCAATTTGAGTTCATCACTCATTGCATTAGCAGCTACTTTTTTCATCTGCCTCACATGACCAAGCTCGCGAAGCTGCTTCCCTATTTTGCTTATTGTTCCTTGAGATGTGGGCGGAAAATTAGGAAATTTCTCAAGAAATAGGCGAGCTACTTCCTGTTGTGTTCGGGTTTTATC